CCACACAGATTTCAGTGTCTCGCTGGTATGAAACGGAGAAAGACATCACAAATTGGAGTGTACGAGCTTTTTAAATTATTTTATTCATTCATTTATTCTGATGTTGCCATAAATACATAAGACATGCTGTGACTTTCTAGAAGTTGTTTCTTTTGCAAAGCTCGAAGGTGTAGATTTCCCCTAACCGAGGTGGATATTTCTCTGCATTAGGGCAGAATGGATGCAGATGAGTAAATGTAATATCCATTAAAAACTTAATGAGTCTCATGATGTTCACAAAAATATACCTAACAACATGGACGACGTGTTTTTAATCCAATTGTTTTATTTAGTGACCAACAGACTGAATATTAAGTATATGAAGTCATTGTTTCATCTGTGATAATAGGACCCTTGAGACTTCTTGAAAATGACCGTAATTAGTATTTCTCTTCAAAATCTAAAATATTCACCTTTAACCATATTTTTTTCTGTCATCAGTGTCAGGAGTTTTCCAAAGCTGACAGCCAATGATGACTTAACAGATTCTATTCAACATTTTCCAAAGTATAAGAAATTTACAAAACAGTAAAACAAAATTATACTTTTCACATTGTTTTATAGACAATTAAAAATTAGTTGCATCTGTTATCAGATAGTGAGCTTTCTCAAGTAAGTTAATTTTTTTAAGATTTATTTATTTATTCATACAGAACTGGGGTACAAGTCAGAGGTGCAGTGGCAGTGAGAGGCTTCACGAGAGACAGAGCATGGAGCAGAACAAGCAGATGGATGAAGTATACTGCTGAGGACAGCAGCGGGTAGGTCAGGATGGGTCTGCTGTGCCATGTGGGTCACCTCCGGGGCCAGGGATCAAACTTGCACTGAAGCCACTGTGGCCAGCTTGCAGTGCTGCATCTTAACCCGTTGGCCACCAAGGAGAGCCCACATAAGTTTATTTTTAAAGGCTCTGTTAATTTCCTTTTGCCATGTTTATTTATTATTGACATTTTGAGTGTTCATCTATTTGGGGAGTGCAATGTAATAATTTGATGTATTACCACCGTGGAAAGATTACCCTTCTTTAGATTGATCCCCTTTTCTGCACTGCTCTGCTGAAGGCAGCCTTCATTTGGGCATTCCTCAGACTGTAGATGAGGGGGTTCAGCAATGGGTTGAAGAGGGTGTAAAACAGGGAAAGGACTTTCTTCTGCTCATCTCTGTGGCCATTGTCCGGGGCCACATACACCATGATGGCGATGCCAAAGTAGAACCCAACCACACAGAGGTGGGAGGAGCAGGTGGAGAAGGCCTTGCTGCGGCCCTCCTTTGACTTGATCCTCAGGATGGCCAACAGGATGCGCACATAGGAGACCAGCATCAAGGACAGGGGCCCCACTAAGATAAATGTACCAGAAGAAAGGACGAAAAGTTTGTTGATCCAAGTGTCCCCACAAGCCACTTTGAGGACAGCTAGGATTTCACAGAAGATGTGGTTCACTTCCTGGAGCCCACAGAAGGGCAATTTCAGAAAGAGAATTAGATTTCCTAGGGCCAGTAAAAAGCCACATATCCAGGAAGTGATGGCCAGCACCGTGCACAGTCTCCAGGTCATGACGACCGTGTAGTGGAGAGGATGGCAGATGGCCACGTACCTGTCATAGGACATAACCACCAAAATCATGGCCTCTGTACAAGCAAAAGCCAAATACAAAAACAATTGTGCAGCACATGAGACATAGGAGATGGTTTTTTGGTGTTTCACTAGGTTTTTAAATATGTTGGGCAAATTGCCAGTGGCATAGGACATGTCAATGACGGCCAGATGCGAAAGGAAGAAGTACATGGGGGTGTGCAGCCTGACGTCCAGCCAGATGAGCCCCAAGATCATGCTGTTCGCCAGCAGGTTGGAGACATACAGCAGGGAGAAGACACCACAGAGGAGAATTTCCTTCTGTGTGCTGAGGTGGAACCCCACCAGGATGAACTCTGGGAACCAGGACTGATTAACCCCCATCCTGAGTGACAGTGTGTCCAGAACTGAAATGTGATAGAGAGACCAGTGCTGGAGGTCGATGAAAACAAGAGTTACTTGTCTTAAAATGAGGTTGGAGGAAATATACATGCTCCTCTCTACTTGACTATTTTCCCAAGATTTCTTGCTTTGTTGGTGTTTTTTCCATTTCTTTATGAACTCATTAGACTTTCAAAAGAAAATTAAAATTATAAGTAATTGTACCCTATGCATGTCACCAAATTATTCATTCATGTTTGCTTTGTAATATCATTTCCCATGAGTTATGTGTGTTTGTATATATGTATTTTATATATGATATCTGTATCTTATATTTCACTAAACCATATTAATTGTTGAAATAATGCCAATTAATTCATCTTTTATTTTTAAAGAAATATTGTATTCAATACTCTAGTTTCAGTAAAATTGCCACAAATCAGGAAATTTAATATAATAACACGGTTCACTACTAAATACACTAATCTGACCTAAATTGTAATCTAATATCACATTTTTTTCTAATCTGAGAAATTTATTCAGACTTTATTACATCATGGTCATTTTGAGTGGTACACAGTATTTGTTTTATAAACTACCTCCAATTTTAAATCTTCCATTGATTATCCATGTGTAGTTCATGGTATAAATTTCTGAAGTAATGTAATATAAAATCTTTAACATAAATGTAAATGTTAATCCCATCATTATTACGAAGATAATATTAATTTGTCCCACTGTTGGCAAGGTTAATACTAGTCAACCAATGTGTTTTCTCTACAGGTCTACATAATAAAATCATTTATACACACTCTTAATTCTTCCCTACTTCTACCTAAAAAAAAACTTGTCCTCTACCAGCCTGGTACTGACCCAATTCAACATGGAATCAGTTATCTCATTAAAAGGTCTAATTCTTTTTTTTTTTTTAAGATTTATTTATTTGTGCATACAGAACTGGGGTACAGGACAGAGTCTCAGGGGCGGTGAGAGGCTTCACCAGAGACAGAGTGGGGAGCAGAACAGGCAGATGGACGAAGTACACTGCAGCGGGCGGGTCAGGAGAGGTCTGCCGCGCCATGTGGTCACCTCCCCGGCAGGCGGGAATCGATCTCATGCTGAAGCGGCTTTAGATTCTCAGTGCTGTGCTTTAACCCGCTACGCCACCAGGGAGGGCCAAAAGGTCTAATTCTTTTTAATGGCGAATCATATTTTCAAATAAGTCATATTTACATGATATTTAATGATTTATTTTTTAATCAGTATTGTGAGAATGATTCAAATATAATTTTGTGGAATAATAAATAATTTGGTATGCCGATTGTTAAAGGGTAGTGGATTCTTAGTATTCTTTCATCTTAATGCGTCATTACTGATATCTTTTGTAGAGACAAATCTATTTTATAAATTAACCTTAATATCAGCATGTCTTGACATTATACAGTAATTTATTTTAAGACAACTAAGTTTTTATAATTCCAGATTCTTATTCTCATATTCAAATATGCTATTGTGTTCTTTATATTTATGTATAAAAGATTCTTTACATTTTAAATTTACAGATTATAATTTTACTACTTTGATTAAATGTATAGATAAAGTGGTGCATATCTCATGAGATTTTGGCATTAATTTTTCAAAAATGCCTTCAAAGACATGAAATACAATAAAAATCTGTAAAGATAACATTAATTATACAATACATTGTATATCAATGATTTCCATGACTGTCAATGTGCAGTTTTCACTTATAGTTTCATATATATTATTAAAATTTTATGAATAGTATTTTTTATTTAGAATCACATATACATTTTTCACATCAAAGTATTTTCCTGATATATGCTTCAATTGGTGCATTTATTTTTCTGTAACTTTTATTATTAAAGTAAATTCCTAAATTGTGTTTCTCAGTCAATTCTATGTGTTATTTGTTTCTCTATATCCCTTCCTCCTCCACCATTACCATCACTATCATCATTCTCATCTTTATCATCTTTCCTCTCTTCATAAGAGTAAACAAGAAAAAAACCCAGACGCACTGTATCTGTAATACATCACCTAGCAGGAAGGCGTCCTCAGTTCAGTAATCAAAGCTGGACAACCTCAAATCCACCTCTACTATGGAATCTCTCATGACAGCCTCACAGTTCCTGTCATCCTCACTGCCATGTTTTAATGTTCACTAGTCAAACCTGGTATAAAACATACCACTCCCGTTGACTGTTACCACTGCTTCATATCGAAACCACCTACAGGAAAGTGAGTTCACAGACTTAAGTATAACCTGACAATAATGTAAGTAATTTCAAACCCCAGTGTGCTCACAAGCTGGAGTTATCTACCCTCTGGTCTACAGGAGCTGACTATAACCGTATAGGATGTTTACCTGCATTTTTGCTTCCCAGATCCAAATGATTACACATAGACACAACTGCCCCAAACTTACTAAATTTGAATTCCAGCTTGTGGCCCCAGAGATATTCTGTTTCCTACATAAGACATGTGGCATGATGTCAGACTACACCACCATTCCAGCGGAAGTTTGCACCTACAGCTGCTGCATGCTAAAAGACATTTTATATTTTCAACCTCACAGCTCTGAGCTACTACTTGTTGTATAACAGACATGGCTTTTACCCACAAGGCCAATATAGTCTTAGAGCTATAAATTTCAAGATAATAGGAAGTCAATCCCTGAAAGGGATGACGAATTTAGAATAATTCATAGGTCTTGAGATTCTCCTGTGCTTCTAAAGTAATTTGCCAATAAATATTGTGGAATTTATTGCATAATCCTATAAAAATCTCAAACTCAGTAAAAACAGCTTCTGAAGCTTGAAGATACTTAAGGGCCCTTCAAAATGCTATATGGTCACACTCCGTGTGCACGGTCACTGCCTCACTGCAAGCCTGGGAGGGGCTTAAAGGGAAGCACACTGAGGGCCCCTCCATGAGGGGCTCCTCTACATCCAGACCCCACAGAAAGGAAGGTGACAGCCGCTTGCTCCTTTCTAAATATTGTTAATATTTTCCTTTATTATTAGGAAGACTGACATATAAAAAGTTGTCATGCATTTCATCATATGACCTGCTGAGCCTGTAGGTGATCACACCAGGACATGACACCAAAGGTCCATTCTTTGAGCTGAGATGACTCCTTTGAGTGTTTGTAGAGGCGCCGTGAGGGATATTATATCTCTACAGTAGTGACTGAGGTTGTAGGTGAGACAAGGCACTCAAGGGGCTGTGCATGAGTATGAGTAATAAATTCCTAATATAAATACAGATACACATTTCTACAGATTTGGGTGCATGTCACATTGGCCTTTCACAAGGGTCCACAAGATTTTAAGATCTCCTGTCGTAAACACCAGATATAGCAGCACAGCACCCCTAAAGTGACAAGCTGAAATTTTTGAATTTAAGCTTCTCTGCAGGCACCCCCTCCATGAACATATTCTAAAGTTAGCTTCTATCATTGACCAACACTGAATTACTTTGCTAAGAAAAAAGTGCATCATGTGGGGTAACCATTTTTCTACCATTATAAAATCTGTATTACAGAGGTAAAAGGCAATGACTTCCTCTTTTTTCTCCAATTAGCTAATATGTGAATAAGCTCTGTAATCTTTGCCATTACTATTAATTTATTCTACTTAAAATAATTGTGACAGTAGATTAACACTCCTAAGTAATGCAGTGGAGAAACAGTGAAGGCAATGTCAAGAGAGCCTGAGTGAACTCCCCTCCCGACAGAATCCCTGCAGGGACAGCAGCTCAGAATGAGGGTGGGGGCAGTGAGCGTCACTCTCCCAGCGCTGGGCCTGGGCAGGGGCTGCTCTCTCTCTCTTTCTGGCTCTGGGCCGCGGGATCGGCGCTCACACTACTCTGTGTTATTGCAGGACAATTTCATAAATATCAGTAGTTTCCAAGGCTGGTGATTACAGTGATGCCTATGTCTAACAATACCATGTTCTGACAGCCCAGGGATGTTTCAATAAGATATGAGGGTGTCACACTCTTACCTCCTGTATGTTTCTACAGGAGAAGCCTCCCCTGCTTGGATTACCACAACTGTCCTTTCTAACAACTGAGGCTACTCTTCAGTATCTGACTGAGTCAGGCTCTCACTAGAAGGTTTTTCAATTCCCTTGGCCATTTCACAGCCTTATTCAGGGAACCTACTTGCAGATGAAGCTTCTCTTCCTCCAGATTCCTTCTCAAACACATTGGAATCATCTGATCAATCTTCAACCACACTGGGAAATAAGAAAACTGCCCAATTATCAGAAGCAACCCTCCACCACCACTGACCACACACACACACATACTTCAAGGGACAGAGGATTCTAGAGCTGGGTTGGGGTGAAACCTGGGATTTATGACATTTAAATGTATGCAGTTTCATCAGGCAAGATCAGTACATTGTTTACTGCAGGCTCCCTGCTCTGCTTCACCTCCCTAGATTGAAAACCATCTCATGTTCAAATAAATTGATTTTCCATTAGGAGATGGCAGCTCTAAATCACATACAGTGGAGTAAAACAACATTACCTCAATAAAAATATACAACAAAATAAGATGTCAGTACTGGATACTCCTCAGGAATCTCCTTGCACAAAGATCCTCCAGAGGGGAGTCATCTCAAACCCTGTGGCAGGCATCTGAGGAGAAATCTCAGTTGTGGAGAACTTTTTACAATTGATGATGCTTTTGCAATGTATCATGAAGACCTAAATTGTACCTCAAGGAGTAGAGTTTGACTCAGAATCAACTAAAAACTACAACTTCCAGAGGGAAAGTGTGACATGATATTTCTCTCCCTTCCTTCTAAAGTAGGAGAAAGAGATTCCCTGTCTCCTCTCTCTGGGGGAAAGTAAAGATTCTGCCTGCTTTCCCTTGACGATTACACTAGTCAGATCACATACTGCCATCACACAGTGTCCACACAGATTTCAGTGTCTCGCTGGTATGAAACGGAGAAAGACATCACAAATTGGAGTGTACGAGCTTTTTAAATTATTTTATTCATTCATTTACTCTGATGTCGCCATAAATACATAAGACATGCTGTGACTTTCTAGAAGTTGTTTCTTTACAAAGCTCCAAAGGTGTAGATTTCCCCTAACCGAGGTGGATATTTCTCTGCATTAGGGCAGAATGGATGCAAACGAGTAAATGTAATACCCATCAAAAGCTTAGTAAGCCTCGTGATGTTTACAAAAATATACCTAGCAATATAGACTATATATTTTTAATCCAATTGCTTTATTTTAGTGGCCAACAGACTAAATATTGAGTACAAAAAGTCAATGTTTCATCTGTGACAACAAGACCCATGAGACTCTTGATAGGGCCTCTTGAAAGTGTGATTAGTATTTCTCTTCCAAATCAAAAATATTCAGCTTTAACCATACTTTTCCTGTTATCCGTGTCAGCAGAGTTTTCCAAATCCTGCAGCCAAAGCTAATTTAACAGATTCTATGCAGAATGTAAATACAAAATTGTAATGATTGCAAAATATGCATAAAATTTTACAAAAAGGTAAGACAAATTTATATTTTCACATTGCTTTATATAGATAATTAAAGAAATTGTTTACATCTATCATCAGCTAGTGAGCTTTCTAAAATAAGTTAATTTTTAAAGGCCATCTTTATTTGTTATTGACATATTAAATGTTTATGTATTTGGGGAGTGCAATGTAATAATTTGATGTATTCACACTATGGAAAGGTTACCCTTCTTTACATTGACCCCCTTTTCTGCACAGCTTTCTTGAAAGCAGCCTTCATTTGAGCATTCCTCAGACTGTAGACAAGGGGGTTCAGCAGTGGGTTAAAGAGGGTATAAAACAGGGAAAGGACTTTCTTCTGCTCATCTCGATGACCATTGTCGGGAACCAAGTACATCATCATGGCAATGCCAAAGTAGAACCCAACCACACAGAGGTGGGAGGAGCAGGTGGAGAAGGCTTTTCTGCGACCTTCCTTTGAGTTGATCTTCAGGATGGCCAAGAGGATGCGCATGTAGGAGAACAGCATCAAGGACAGGGGCCCAAACAGGATAAATACACAGGCAGCAAGGACAATAAGTTTATTAAGCCATGTTTCTCCACAGGCCACTCTTAAGACAGCTACAATTTCACAGAAGAGGTGGTTTACCTTCTGGACCCCACAGTAGGGCAATCGTAGATAGAGAATTATATTTGTTAGAGCTAAGGTAAATCCGTATGCCCAGGAAATGCTGGCCAGGACCGTGCAAAACCTCCAGTTCATGATGACAGTGTACTGGAGAGGATGGCAGATGGCCACATACCTGTCATAGGACATCACCATCAAAATTGCACACTCTATAATAGCAAGTGAAGAATACAAAATCATTTGCATAATACATGAGACAAAGGAGATCGTTTTTTTGTGTTTCACTAGGTTCTCCATTATATTAGGCAAGCTGCTCGAAGCATAGGATATGTCAATGATGGCCAGATGCGAAAGGAAGAAGTACATGGGGGTGTGCAGCCTGACGTCCAACCAGATGAGCCCCAAGATCATGCCGTTGGCCAGCAGGTTGGAGACATACAGCAGGCAGAAGATACAGAAGAGGAGCACTTCTATTTCTGCACTGAGCTGGAATCCCAACAAGATAAATTCTGGGACCCATGACTGGTTGTCTCCCATCCCTTAATGATAGTTTGTCCAGGACTGAAATGTAGTAAAAAGGCCAGAGCTGGAGATTAATGAAAACTGGAATTATTTATCTTGACCTGAGCTCAGAAGTAACTTGTCAACTTATCACAGCTAGGCTGAATTACTTTTACAATGGATGTTTGCTGTTTTGTTTTTAGCTCCTCATTATGAAGTAGCTAAACTTGCATACAAACATCAATAATATAAAGAAATGTACCCTATAGACATCACCAATTTTTTTAACTGATATCAGATTTTCTTGCTGTGACTTTGATAATATGAAGAGTACAGACCAATTGTTTTCTATAATATCTACAGTTCAGATTTTCAAAGGACTTCCTAATTTGAGAACAGACTAGACAGCAATTAGGCTTTCATCAGACTTCTTTGAAGAAATTCTGTATGATTTGAGAGAAAAGGATGGCAGATACAAAACGTTGTAGGATAAGTGCTGCCGGACAAGTTTTTGTGACACTCATTTGAAGATGAAGTAGAAATAAAGGTCTTCTTTGACAAACAAAAATCAAAGGAATTTGAAGATACTATTCCTCCCTGATAGAAATGTTGACTGGAGCTCTCCTATATAAATCAAAGAGAAGAAAGTCCACAAAAAACACTAACATGTATATAACTAGATAGAACCAGAAAGCTATGGAAGTAGTTTACAATAATCATCCTCAGTACAAATGGACTAAAATCACCACACAAAAGGCACAGAGTGGTCAGATAAATGAAAATGTAAATCCCAACTTTATTTTGCATATATGAGACTCAAGCTATAAAGATAAACACAGAACTAAAATGAAGTGATGGAAACTACTACTTCAAGCCAATGCAGAATTTTAAAAGGTGGGAAGCACTACACATACATGAGAGAATATAGAATTAAACCCCAAAAATAGATAGCATGAGACAAAGGATGAACATTATATAATAATAAAGGAATAAATATCATAGCTAGGCAAAATAATCAGTATTATGTACTCAATATAGTAGCACCAAAATATGTAAAACAGATATTAATAGACCTAAAGGTAGTATTGTTTATATTTCTTTCAATGTGCTCCTGTCATCTAAATTTTCCACATGATCTATTTCTCTGCAGCATAATTTACTTAAGCCATACTTTGTAAGTGCATTCTGAACATGTTAATTGATTTTGCATTTTCCTCTTTGATAAGTTGTGTGCAATACAGTAGTGACTAAATTTATGTATTTATTTTTGTGTATGTTTTATGATTTTCTCATAGTCAATTTTTTGTTGTTGGACTCATCAGAGAGAGCTACTGATTAACCAATCAATGGGGTCAATCCGCCACATGAGATCTGGGTCACTAAAAGAAGAAATCTTCGTGGAAATAATCTATTGAACAATCACACCTCTAACCTGAGATAGATCTTTCCTGGAAAGTTGTCCCACTTTAGCCTGAAACCTTTTATCATGCTGATTCTCATATTTTAAAATAATCTAGTCAAATCTCCTAAACCAAGCGCTCATCCTTTGGATCCTGGTTATTCAGCCTTATATTAAAAACCAAGAAAGAATAAGAATGATTAACAGAAGGTGAGACTCACAGGCTTAAAAATCATCCAAATACAATGTAAACAGATTCTATTTTATTAGGATAAATCTATCTTGGTCTGCTTACGGACTTTGAGTGATCCACCCTCTTAGCTGAAAGAGCTGATTACATTTGTATGAGACTTTTGCCTGAATTTTGTACTTCCCAGGAGCCAAATGGTTCCACATGGAAGTAGTTATCTTCTCAACACTCACAGTTCAGGATTTTCCTCATAGACATCTTCTCACATATCATATCAAATAGGCGTTGATCAATTTTGTTTGAAATCTACTCCTTTCTTTTAATTCCAGTTTGATCATCAAAGAGCTACTCCTTTTTGCAAAACCTGGATGACTAAATTCCTGCACCACCCACCACACAGACATGCCTTTCCTCATCAGGCATCACCAGCTAAAGCATATTTTAATTTAAACAATAACAGTGTAGTCAATACAAAAAGTGCACATGTGATTAATTGTATTTTTATCACTCGTAGGCAAAAAAAACTGTTGCCTCTAAAACCATAATATTCCTAAGGAATCTGACAAAAATCTCTTAAGATAGATGATGGATATTTTAGATAATTTTTTTTTCACAGAAGATTTGGGGTGTAGGCCAGAAGTGTGGGGTGGGGAGGATTCACCAGAGACAGACTGGGGAGCAGAACAAGCAGATTTACTGAAATCCACTGCTGAGGGGATCAGCAGGAGAGACAGGAGAGGGGGATCAGCAAGAGAGGTCTGCTGCACCATAGGTGGGTCAGCTCCCTGGCAGGAGGATTGAACTCAGGCTGGAGTGATGATAACACTTAACCCCTAGCCACCAGGGAGGCTCCATATTTAAGAGATTAAGTCAGGGCTTGACTTCCACTTAAGTTTGTGGAAGTAATGTGTAAATAGCCTAGAAATTATTATATAAACCTATAGAAATCAGGTTTAGGTGAATGCAATTCACCTAAGTAGCCGCATATTGAACTCAATAATATCTATATGGGTTATTCAGAAATACCATGGGGCCACACCCAGCACAGGGTCACTACCTCACTGTGAAAGCCTGCAGGGGAGCTCAGAGGGCAGGAGGCAGAGGACCCCTCCCTGGGGTAACTAGTAACCCCCAGTTACTATACATAATCGAAATAGAAATGGGAACAAATGACTACATGTCATTCTGTGATGTAAGATTTGAACTTCAGAGAAAAGGCAAGCTTTCTTATAAAAGAAAAAGATGACCAAAACCGACCCATACATTAATAAAAATAGAATGGGATTTAAAAGTCTATGAGACTAGACATGTGATGAGGTGCCCCTTGGCAAGGGGCAGTTTTCCTTTTTGTGTATCACTTCATTATGGCATGAAGGACACGGAAAATGATGTACAGAGCCGATGGGCGTGGGAGTGTACAGCTGAGAAGTGATCACCACAGTTACCTCCACAGCCATGTCATGAACCTCTCAATCAACTTCAAAACTACTGAATTCATTTTCTACTTTGGGGAATTAAAGTAGTTGGATTTGAGGAGGCGTTTCAGGCACCAGTTATATGCATAGGCAATAATAACTGGGAAAAACTATATTCTCACTCTGAAGATCTGTGCCATCCTCAAGGTAAAATCAGGATGAGAGCCCACCCTGGCGGTGCCACAGGTTAAAGCTCAGCACTTCAAAGGTGGCTGCAGCTGCTTCAGCGTGAGTTCAATCCCTGGCCAGGGAGGTGACCCACATGGCGCGGCAGACCTCTCCTGACCTGTCCGCTGCTCCCCTCAGCAGTGTACTTGTCAGTCAGCCTGTTCTGCTCCCCACTCTGTCTGGTGATTCCTCTCACTGTCTCTTCACCTCTGGCCTGTACCCCAGTTCTATGTGCATAAGTAAATAAATCTTAAAAAAAAAATCAGAGATGAGGTGAGGTTGAAGCCAACTGTCATTTTATGAACTGAGATGATTCTTATCCAGATATAAAGTCCCTTGTGTGAGTGATTTGTCACCTCCATGCCTCTGTTCCCTAAAACAGCATAATTCTCAATGAGCAGCTGCTCTTCATTGTTAAATGGACAAAAGTGTTTTTGTAATTCTACACATCGATCCACATCTTAGGTATTATAGCCCGTTCACACAGATTTTCGAAAGACTACAGGAGTCATCATCACTGATATCAATGGTTACAGTATTCTTGGATTTACAAACACTTAAAATAATTCCAGTTTTATGAATTCAGTTTTCTCTACAGTCTCTCTCTATAAGCACCTCATAGCATTAATTTTTATCTTTTGAGTAAGACATGAGTATATAATAGAAAAAGTATGTGATGAGAATTTAATTACTTGAAAATTGCTTACTTTCAAAAATCCTGTGACTAAGCCTTGTTTCTAGAGTATGTTTATGAAGCTAAAAGATATGACCCAAATTAGAGCTGTACAGAAAATGGTAATGTATCTATGAATTAATTTCTTATACCTGCTTTGAAGGGAGGCTTCCAAGGAAGTTCAGCAAAATTGCTTTATTGAATAATTAGTTCATAGGAAAGGAAAATAACCTAATAAGTAAACCCGAAGCACATACAACAGCATTTTGAACTCTTGAAATTCAAACACTGATGTCTAAGTGAGAGAGCAATTGATAAGATTCTAGTTCTAGGGGAATTATAGGCTTGAGAAATTTTAGAGACAGACCTAAATTATTGTTTCTATGAATACGAGTACATTGGAAGGATTTACAGAATGGATATTGATTTGGCAATATTTAGTTTGACTAAAGCCAGAGAATCTATATTGCAGTATGTAAAATGGTATAGCTAATCTTAACTTTTCTGGCTAATTTTGGTTTTGAATTAAATAAATGCTACAATCTTTACCTCCATTACCCTTATTTACATTTCACTTATTTTTTTTAACTAATAAGATAAATTTCTTAATATAGCACTGAAATTGAGAAGAAAATTTTAAGATGGTCTAAATAAAATTTCCCCTTCACAAAAGCCAATAAAATAATAGAAAGCCAGTGTCTGAGTGACCAGTTATGTACAACTTCTCACACTGCAGTCTTGCATCGAACTAGGAAATTAATGCTGTTCCCACTTCAAGTGGTTCTGGCCCTCACAATTCTGTCCTATTTTGTAATAGAATGTTTGTGCAAATATTTAAGTTCTGAGTCTAATCATCAAGACTGTGTGGCAGCCTAGAAGTTTCAAAAAGTAGCAACCAAGTGACAAACTTACCTCTTCACTGTTTCAGCATGGAAGACTTGATTGCTACTCTTGCCAGAATTTTCCTTTCAAACGACAGAGACTACTCTGGCAGTATCTTCATGGCTGTTAGGTACTGAGGTTTTTCACGCTGGGGCATTTCTGAGCCTTATCCACAGGAAATGGACTTCATCTGAAGTCTCCCTACTTCCAGATTCCTTCCCAGACTATAGACCTACGCTAATTTGAATGATCAACACTCACTCAAACACACTTGGGGGTCGAGGGGGAGGCAGTGATCAAAAAACTGCAAGAAATCAGAAAACCCTTCCACAGCTCAGCAGACAGAGGCTTCCAGACCTGGGGTGGGGGTGGCAGCCAGGCCCTGTTCCATCACCTGTGGCATTCACTTGAGTCAGGAGGCGCTCAGGGTATTTCACCCAGGAATGTCATTCCTCTCCACAAAGGCATGCTGGTTTCTGCTATCACCCTGATCTGCTCCAGCTCCCTGATCTGAATATGGTCTGGGTGCAAACACATCTTGTTTACACGAGAGGATGTTCCTCTGGAATCTCTGTGACCGAGCTGTCCCTCCAGAGAGAAGGTAGACACACTAAAACATTGAGAAGGCTTCAGAGGGTAAACTTTAGAGAGAAGAGAATTTGCTATATCTGCTGATGGCTTTGCAACAGATGATAAGGTCTAAATTAAACCTGTAGGAGTAAAGATTTTATTGGAATCATCTAAGAATTATAATTCCCAGAAGGATGATAATAATACATTTCTACCTTCTCCCTAAGGTGTGTAGACAAGATCCTTGATTCTCCTCTCTGGAGGAGAGTTAAGGTTCTGTCTGTTTTTCCCTTGAGGAACATTCTGAGCAAAATTCAGATCACATATTGGCATCACACAGTAATTATACAGATTTTCAAATGCCTCACGCATTGTGGTCCTCTAGGGGAATATCACAAATTTCAGAAACACAAATTTTTATAGTCAGTTTTATAAATAGATGCTACACTATAGTTGTGACTTTTGGAAGGTCAGAGAAGTTCCCTGTGGAATCTGCTATGGCAAACCTGAGAAGGAATAGCCCCCCAAGATTACCTCTGTCTTTGAAATAAGACACAGCTTGGAAAATGAGCAAGGACTGTTAGATCTTTTTGAGCATCCTAATTATGTTTCAAATAAATGCCACATGCATATATATTGTTCAGTTTTATTTTCTTTCCCCCATCACTATATTTAGGTATTATTGCCCTAGAAAGAAATAGTGTATATATTTAAGGTGTACAGTGTAATGATTTGATATATGTAAATATTATGACATGGTAGCCACCGGTAATTCACATATCCAGCACTTCAAATGAGTATCACCCTCTGTGGATGTGTGTGCAGAAGAAGAGTTAAGACTAGTCTTAACAAATTTCAAGTATTCAAATGCATAATTATTAACTATCATTACAATGCTGTGTGCTCAAGCCCAACTTGCTCCTTTCAAAACATAGGCACCCTTTGAGCTCACTCTAGCCCATGACATTTGTAGTTATACTCTTTTAACTGTAGATTTCCCTGCTCTTTGAAAGAGGAATGTGCCAATGTATTATTTGGTGGATTATTTTTTGTTTTTGTTTTTTGTTTGTTTATTTTTAAAGATTTATTTATGTGTGCATACAGAATTGGAGTACAGGCCAGAGGCTCAGGGGTGGTGAGAGGCTTCACCAGAGACAGAGTGGGGAGCAGAACAGGCAGATCGACAAAGTACACTGCTGAGGGGAGCAGCAGGTGGGTCAGGAGAGGTCTGCCGCGCCATGTGGTCACCTCCGGGGCAGGCGGGGATCAAACTCATGTGGAAAGGCTTAAGCTTCTTAGTGCTGTGCTTTAACCCGCTGTGCCACCAGGGAGGGCCCCATGGATTATTTTTTGAAATGCATAGGAGCACTGTTATCATAAATATGGAAAACTTTTGAGCATGCATATGTATAAACAAATATACATATTTAAATGCAAACACTCTTGCTTATCATTCATCCATCTTTGCACATTTAGATTATGTCTATATTTTACTATTTCTATTAATGCTGCAATGAACACAGGAAGGGAAATTTCTATGAGATAGCTACAGGTTTCACCTCTTTATGTATATCTATAATGTTCACATACACATACATATGGCATGTAAATTTCTGGGTACTGTGGAAGCTCTACTATTTTTGTTTGATGAACTCCCATGCAATTTTCTATAAAAGTTGCACCAATTTACATGCCAACCACAGTATTCAGGGATACACACACACACACACACACACATTCTGCACACCATGCAAAACACTTGTCATCTGTGCCTTTTTGATAATAGCCATTCCAGGGCTTGGGGTGGTATTTCATTGTGATTTGGATTTCTCTGATGAGTACCAAGGTTAGCGCCATTTATATGTATAGTTGAAAAATTGTCTCTTCAGTCCTTTGCCCAGTTTTACATCAAGTTATTCATTTTATGTTGTGAGTAGTAGGTGTTTATGGTATATTCCGGATATTAATCTCACAGCAGATGTGATTGGTCACTTGCTCCCATCCATTGGGTGCTTTTTACTCTGGTGATTTTATTTTTTGAGATGAAGAAACTGGGTGTTTGCCAAGTCATTAACAAATCTGCATTTCCTTAAGGTGGTTTTGCACATTCAGCTTGTGCCACAGATTGGTTAATGTTTCCCTCTGAGTTGAAGTTGTTTGCTTTCTTGGTCCCACAGCAGGACAATCTCAGAGACAGCCCCGCATCTCCCACATCTCCCGAGGCCAGCAAAATGCCACAAGCCCAGGAAGTGATGGCCAGCTCCATGCACAGTCTCCACCTCATGATGACCGTGTAGTGAAGAGGCTGGCAGATTGCCACATACCTGTCATAGAACATCGTGACCAAAACCATGACCTCGGCACCAACTGCATAAATGCCACCCTCCTTCAAAATGTCCTCTGTTTCCACACTGCTCTGCTGAAGGCAGCCTTCATCTGAGCATTCCTCAGACTGTAGATGAGGGGGTTCAGCAGTGGGTTGAAGAGGGTGTAAAACAGGGAAAGAACTTTCTTCTGCTCATCTCGGTGGCCATTGTCTGGGACCACATACACCATGATGGCGATGCCAAAGTACAACCCAACCACACAGAGGTGGGAGGAGCAGGTGGAGAAGGCCTTGCTGCGGCCCTCCTTTGACTTGATCCTCAGGATGGCCAAGAGGATGTGCATGTAGGATACCACTATCAAGGAAACAGGCCCCACTAAAAAGAGCACACCACCTCCAAACACCAACATTTTGTTGACCCAAGTGTTCCCACAGGCTACTTTGAGGACAGCTAGGATTTCACAGAAAAAGTTGTTTACGTTCTTGGTCCCGCAGTAGGACAATCTCAGAAAGAGCACTAGATCTCCTAAGGCCAGCAAAATGCCACTTGTCCAGGAAGTGATGGCCAGCACAGTGCACAGTCTCCAGCTCATGATGACCGTGTAGTGGAGAGGCTGACAGATGGCCACGTACCTGTCATAGGACATCGCCACCAAAATCAGGCACTCTGTTACAGCAAAAGCCAAGTATAAAAACATCTGCATAGTGCATGTGACAAAAGAGATACTTTTTGTGTGTTTCACTAGGTTTTCCAGCAATTTGGGCAAATTGCTCGAAGCATAGGACATGTCAATGACGGCCAGATGCGAAAGGAAGAAGTACATGGGGGTGTGCAGCCTGACGTCCAGCCAGATGAGCCCCAAGATCATGCCGTTGGCCAGCAGGTTGGAGACATACAGCAGGGAGAAGACACAGAAGAGGAGCACTTCCATGTCCGCGCCGAGGGGGAACCCCACCAGGATGAACTCGGGGGCCCACGACTGGTTGTGCCCCATCCTGAATACTTTAATTCCTTGGCCCAGGGCTCAAATATGATAGAAAGGCCAGATCTGGAGGTCAATGGACATTGGCATTAATTATCTTTAAATGGACTCAGAAGAAGCCATATGCTTATTCCCAGATGACTGTATTTATTTCTCAATTTTCTTTGCTTTTTATTGCTTTTACTATGAAGTAATTAAGATTCATATATATGTGTGTGTGTAAAGAATTTAAAAAATACTATTTTATACTTAAATTATATATAACATAATCAACATTTTCAGCCTTTCTTTACCATTTATCTTATATATGTAATTTTTTAATGGACCACATAACTATTAATTCTTTTCACATAATTGCAATCCTACTTCCAATCTTTTATTTCATTCATTTCTTACATGGAGATTCTCAGTTACCTCTATTACCTTTCTATCTATCTGTGACTGAGCCCTGTGATTGAATATGCATGGAAACTCTGACCTCCAGTTCACAAACGAATTCTATCAGATGTCCAAAGCTGAACTGGTGCCAAGCAGAATTCATTCCAGGGACATAAAGATGGTTCAAACTCCAAAAATCTATGAATGTAAGTCACCACATCAACAAAAAGCAAAGTAAAAACATCTAACAAAATAAGGACATCTATTGATGAGGTGATGCAGGTCACCAAAATTGTTGGAATAAAAGAAATATACCTCAACATAATTACATCACAAAAGCCACATATGACAACCTACTGCCACTATCAGCCATAATGCCCACAAACTGAAAGGCTTCCCTTTAGATCTGGAAAAAGATGTCCACTCTCACCACTGCATTTTAGCAGTGGACTAGAAGTCCTAACCAGAGCTATTAGCCAAGAGAAAGACATCCATTGACCCAAAGGAAAAGAAGTAAAACTATCACTATTTTCATATGATATGGTAATATACATTCAGAAAGCCTGAAAAAATTCCAGAGAGAAATAATTAAAACAATAAACCAGATTAGTAAAGTAGCATCTTGTAACACACACTAACCTTCTTATATGCAAATTATCTCTCTGAAAAAGAAGATGTCAAGAAAAACATCCTGGGGATAAACTTCACAAAGTATGTGAAAGACCTATACCAAGAAAATTACATAACATTGATAAAAGAAATAGAAGAAGACACAAAGAAATGGAAAGGTATTCCCTGCTCATGGATCAACAGAATTAAAATGATCAAAATAGCCATTTACAAAAGCAATGTACAGATTCAAGGCAACTCCAATAAAAATTTCAATGGATTATTTTTTAATCTCTGATCCATCATTTACTTGCCTGGAGGTCTTGGGCAAATTACTTAGCCTTTTTAAATCTTTCTGAAATTATATATATATTATACATATATATACATATATAACTTTTTATATATCTATTTACATTATTGCTCATTTTATAACAATGTTTACTTTTTCCCCTACCCGTCATCACCATCGTCCCCCATATACCTCCCTCTATCTGACTCCTTTCTGTCCCCTTCCCCTGTAGGAAGTTTGTTTTGTATTGTTTTGTATGGTAATAAAAATGCACTTTTTTTGAACCTCTGTCTTATTTGGTTCTTTCAAATTCCTCCTATAAGTGAAACCATTCGACATTTTTCTTTTTCCTTCCAACTTATTTCTGAGCATAATGCCTTCTAGCTCCATCCATGTTGCTGCAAATGGCATGAGTTTATCTTTTTTGATTGCTGAATAGTGTCCCATTGCGTGTGTGTGTGTGTGTGTGTGTGTGTATCACATCTTCTTGAGCCAATCATCTAATTTTGGGCATTTGGGTTGTTTCCAGGATTTACCTATTGTAAGTAGTGCTGCAATAAACACAGGGGTGCATGTATCTTTTTTAATTAATGTTTTTCATCTATTCTTCAAAGAAATAGAACAATCTGAAATTCCTATAGAATTACAAGAAAAAAAAATAGAAATAAATAAAACCCAGACAGCCATAGCTCTAATTGAAAAAAGAAGAAGCCCCCAGGCTTCAAACTATACTACAAAGCCATAATAACTAAAACCATATAGTACTGCAACAAAAAGCAGACACATATACTAATGCATCACATTGAAAACCCTGACTTGAAGCCGCATGTATATGGTCAACTAATCTACGACACAGGAGCACAGACTATACATTTGAACAAGGACAGTCTTTCAATAAATGGAGCTGGAAAAACTGGACTGCTACATGCAAAAGAAAGAAACTAAGCTACTACCTCACACCATACATAAAAGCCAACTCAAAATGGGTAAAAGATTTGAATATAAGCCTTGACACCATAAATTAGTAGAAGAAAACACAGGGAAAACACTCCATGACATCTCTCTCAGAAACTCCTTTGAGGATGCATTCCCCCGTGCATAGAAAGTCAAGGGAAAGATCAACAGCTGTGAGTTCATTAAAACTCACATGCTTCTGTACAACAAAAGAGACAATAACCAAAATGAAGAGACACCCTATAGATTAAGAGAAAATGTTTGCACTCCACACAACTGGTAAGGAACTGTTATCAAAGATCTACAAAAGCTTACACGGCACAACAAACACAAAAATGGGTATAGGAACTAAAAAGACACTTCTCCAGAGAAAATGCAAATGACCAAGAAGCATATGAAAACAAAAAAAGCTCAATAACTTACAAACATGGAAATGCAAATTAAAGCCACAAAGAGATACCTCTTCACACCAGTGAGAATGGCCCATACTTAATGAGCTGGCAACAATGAATGCTAGCAGGAACATGGAGTACAAGAAACCCTCTTACATTTCTGGTGGGAATGCAAACTGGCCCAATCACTATGTACAGTTGTGTGTACATATTATTAAATTAATAAAAATTATCAAGTTATTAAAAATGGATCTACCTTATGACCCAGTAATTCCATTCCTAGGAATCTATACAAAGGACACAAACACATTCATTTGAAAGGCAAACTGCCCACCGATGTTTATTGCAGCACTATTTACAATGGCTAAGATATGATAACAAACTACATGCCCAAACATAGAATAGATCAAGAAGATGTGGCATATATACACAGTGGAATACTATTCAGCAATCAAAAAGATAAACTCATGCCACTTGCGGCAACATGGATAGAACTAGAAAGGTTTATGCTGACTGAAATAAATGAGAGGGGAGAAGAAAACTATTAGCTGGTATCACTTGTAGGAGGAACAAAGAGAAATCAAACAAAGGGTCAAAAAAAGATAAAACTTGTAGGCAACTATAGATCTGAGGTATGAGGCAGGTGAGTGGATGGGGTGGGAATGGGATCAAAATAGATGAGGGAAGAGTACAGGGACTGTGGTGATGGGTCACAGGTGATGTGCTGGTGGGAGATTTGCAGGGACTACACCTGAGCAACAAATCATGTACTGTACAAAAATTAACAATGATGTAAGAAAATTAAAAGACAATAAAATGAAATGAATAAAAATAAAGAAATATTAATGCAAAAAATAAATAATAAAAGAATGGGCGTGATAAAAAATAAAATATTACAGCATTTCCACCCCTAGGCATCTACCCAAAGTATGCAAAAACAATGATACAAAGGAATATACTCCTATGTTCATCGAGTTCATATTAAGTACAAGAACAAGAATTTTTCATGGAAAGTGAGACTCACAAAGCTTAATTATCATCTGATGACATTATATATATAGCTCCTTGTTTGCTATGATAAATCTATCTTGATCCAATTACAACACTGAGTTACCTACCCTCTATACCAAAGGAGTCAGTAACAACTTCATGAGACACTTGACAATATTTTTATTGTATAGGATCTGTATGCTCCCACACAGAGGATGTAGATTGGTTCATCCCCTATGAAAAACAATATGGAGATTACTCAATATATTAAAAATACTCCAGCAATTCCAGCATCTAGCAAAGAATGCAAAACCACTCACGTGAAGGTTTGTAAAAAATTAATGTCTTATACAACTTCGTGACTGTGCTTGCTCTGAAGTGAAGCTGATAAGAAAATCTCAAGGAAAATGACCTTCTCATGAATGGTTGTAGGAAAGTGAAATAACTCATGAAGTCTTCTTGAAGACAAAGGTAACAGCATTGTTTGACTTTTGCAAAATACCAGGCTAAATTCTTAGGAACTATGAGCCAAAGATGTGGAGACAGACCCACATCTAGAAGCAGATGGGATTTGGGAGGGTTCTGGGAACAGCCGTCGCGTGGTAACGAAAGCTCTGCAGCTTGTGTTACAGGTTACCCACAGTGGGCACAGTCATCGCCAGACTTTATGTTTTACATTTGTTATTTCACTGTCTGAGTTAACAAACCTTTTGGTCTTCATCCCCATTATCAAAATGTTCTATTTCCTTTACATATAGTTTTCTAGTAATACTGATGACAGACTAAATCTCTCAGACAGTGCAGAACTGAGGCAGAGAAGACAACTTTATGACATGAGTGCCTACATGAAACCCCCATTCCCTAAAAAAAAAAACCCATACAGCAAATAGAGCCTGAAGATCACAGGTCTGAACACCCAGTGTGGAGTTCTGCACCCCGCAGCCTGATGGGATTGAAGAGCACACGCTGCTTCGCTGCTTCCCCAGCTTCAGTCAAGGCTATTAACTCCCTCCCATCCCATTATGGTGCCAGGACAAATACTCCTATCATAGACTAATATTGGAGTCTAATGATAATTAAGATTGGGGCACTCTAAAAATGCTTCCATAAATAATAACTCTCTGATACACTTACCTTTCACACCGTTTCAGGAAAATCAGGAAAAGACTTTACCTGCTACAATAATTTTCTGAAGTATCAACAGTGTCTCTGACTGACGATATTTATGTAGGAAGGTGGTGTCGAAAAGACATTTATAATGTTGGTTAAATCAGAACCTTTCCAAGAGGCAAATCCTGGCTATCCATATTTTAATCCTCCAGGCCCCGTCTCCTTCAACAGAGCTGTGCCTGCTTACAGACACCACTCATACTTGCTGGGAACCCACTGATGGCGAG